GAATATTCAGTAGACAGAAAGGGGTCGGCGAGCGCTGATGAACAGGTTGTTCTTTGTGTGTGGATGAAACCAGTCAGTCAGTGTGATTCAGCGTCTTCGCCGCCTTCCTGTCTCTCTGGTAGCCGTGCTTTTTATGCGGCCTGGATTTGAGTCTCAAAGCCGACCGGCTCTTCATGGACTCTCTTTTCCCCGTCGTGAGGTCCTCCCCTCCTGGTTTCCATAGCAACAGCTGCGCATCCTCTCCACCGGTGACCAGAGCCTCCGCCGCCGCGTCCCACAGGAAGCAGCGCACGGTGGAGGCGTGGCCGCCCTCGAGGCTCCTCAGCAGACGAAGCCCCCCGTCGCCACACTCCATCAGGTGGAGGTCGCCGTTGTTCTTCCCCCCAACCACCATCAGCTTCCTCGCCTCCTCCAGCCACCTCCCCCCCACCAGGTAATCCACGCCTCCCCCGCCAGCCAGCGGCGTCAGGCTGCGAGCGTCAGACGTGCTGAACACGGTGAGAGGCTCGTCCGTGTCCAGCTGACCCAGATCCCACAGGTGCAGGCCCTCGTCGTGGCTGAGGCACAGCAGCTGGGTGTAATCCGGTCCGGACCAACAGACCGACCCCGCCGAGGAGTCGCTGTTACAGGTGGCGAGCAGCGCCTCCTCCTCCGGCCCCCGGCTCAGGTCGAACACGTTGACGAGGCCGTCTGTGGAGCCGGACGCCAGCCGGTCTTTATCTCGAGGGTGGAAGCGCACCTGCGTGACGTCATCGCTGTGCGACTCGGAGTACACCCCGAGAAGCTTCCCGCCCGGTTTCCTGACATCCCAGAACACCAGGAAGCTGTCCTCCTCGTTCACCTGCTCGGTGCCGGCGCACAGGAGCGCGTCGCCGCAGCTCAGGTCGAAGCTGCAGTAGCTGTGTGACGGGTCGCTTTTAAACACCTGGACTGCGTCTGTCCCGGGCCGGCGGACGTCCCACCCCCGCACCGTCCCATCAGCAGAACCGGAGTAGAGGAGGTCAGGGGTCGTGTGGGAGAAAACGACCCCACAGAGCGACCCGCTGTGGCCCCGATACTCTCCCACCAGGTCCAGAGAGTCCTTGTTGTGAAGGTGGACGGTGAGGTTGGAGCAGGAGACCGCCAGCAGGCCGGCGGGCTGCAGGGCCACGTCCAGGAGGTAGGTGGGTTCCTCCGGGCGAGACCGCCGGGCGATGGACAGACCGCTGAGCTTCTCCTCCAAACCCTCCATGACAGAGACTCAAACACTGAACAGGAAGACAAAAAAATACTTTTAATTTCTTAAGTTTCTTATTTATTATTATTTACTATTATTAGTTATTTATTAAGTTTTATCACATTAAATCTCTCAGAAAAACACACACCTGGAAAATAATGTACAACATTACAGAAACAATTGGTTAAACCGTCTTTTCTTCTTCTATGGCAAGACTAAATTCAAAATGTTGATCCTTTAATAAATCTTTGATTATTATCCATGGTTCTGCACAGATTAGGATATAACTTTTGATGTTTCAGTAATCAATAGAAACCATTTTGCAATTCGGCATACAGTCACAACAATAAATGACAATTCAATTAAGTTAATATTTAACAGTATTTAACTCGTTATTCCGATGCAATTTACTGCAATTTGAGAATTTATTACAATAACGTGTCGTTTGGTGAATGCAATATATGCCGAATTAATCACAACGCTTTATACATTTATAAAAGTTACACGATTCATATTCACTGTGAAATTTATGTTTGGAACAAAGCAAAGAATCAAAAAATACACATTTTTTAAATGGAGTCTGGGATTGGCTTCTTCACCTTTGAAACATTCAAACAGAAATCGGGTCGCAATCACAGTTTGAATCAGTTATTATATTTATGTGTATTAATGTGTTATGTTCTGTCATTAATGTGTCATGTGTTGTTATTTTCAACCTACCTACTTGCTAGAAGTTTCCACACATTGAGGAAAAAAACAACTTTGGAGATTTCTTCGACATTTTGATAAAATCCCGTATATTAATAAACTATTTAAACATTAACTTTAATCATAAACCTCTTAAAAGCAACGATAATGTCATCACGTTATTTTCACTCCAAACACGCATGGAGGATGTACCCTGTGTCACAATATTTACAGCCGGGTCGGAACTTTGTCTCAGTAAAAAGGTTCCGCCGGACAGAATTCAACCAAACATTGTTCAGTTTATTATAATTTATCAGTAAATTATCTGAAGATATAAAGTTTATATCTTTTATAAATTTGGCTTATAAAATCAATATAAAGGGAAATATAAAACTGTTACTTCAGTGTAAAAGCAGTTTAAGTGTCTAATAAATTTGATTTAGTTTTCATGTAAAATAAATGAACAATAAACACTAACACACTTGTAAAATGTTTTATTATTAGCTATAATTTACATTTAAGGAAACTCATATGTCTTTAAAACACATCCAAATGTCTTAAATTAATATCCTAAAAGGCTTCATGTATGGTAACAATATATATCACAAATAGTTTTGCCTCAGATTTTGCATTAAAAACCTCTAAAACAGCATTTGCACCATTGAGAGACACTAAAACACTTCACATTAATAAAGACTTTATTTCACAACATCCCTTTTTGTACAAGAAAAGCTCAAAATCACAACAATATAAAAGATTTTCAACCCAAAATATGCTGCTCACAACTTTTTTTAGTATATTCTTTAAAATTAAAGATAATAACTGTTATCTTAGAATTTGTCAGTCTTAATATTGCAGTAATATTACTTATTACACCCCTGATTCAGACATATTTTACATATATTTCCTATTCTAGTCAGTGCATAAACATAACAGTACAGAATAACAGCAGGATGATGAATGCTGGTGATGCTAAGGCACAGTTTAAACAGCATAAAATCACTGAAGGTAAACATTAAGTTTAAGTTTAATGGCACATACGAGGACATTGGTGCATAGAAATCACAATGAAGTGTAGAAAAATATAAAATAAAGCTATGAAAATCAATAAAAAAGTAGCATCTTTATACAAATATAAAGAGAGAGAGAAGCTGTAAACAGGAGATGTAGAACTGGATGTCGTCTGCGTACCTCTGTAGTTTGATAAGTTAACAATGGGAGAGAGTGCACTGAGGGACGACTCCAGGAGAAGGAATGACTGATCCCTGATCACAGCTTATCTGTAACAACAACAGACAAAGCTGTTGGAGATATATATATAATATATATAATATCGGGGCCCGAGGCCTCATCGATGAGAAACTGGCGTGGGGGAACATCAGGAGCTTCAGCTGTTGGTGTACAGGAGGAAGAAGCAGAAGGGGGAAAGGTCACAGGATCTGATCTGACCCTGATCCACGTGCAGGCTGCTCTGGCGTCCTCCTCATTTTCCAGGAAACAGCCAATCCAGCTAAACAAGGCCAAAGCACAATGAAACCGAGTGCCAGTCCGATCCGAGTGAGGGTCCCGACCTCGACGCTCTTGGGACCTGAAGCTGAAACGTTAACGAGAAACATCTGAACAGTGGAACAACCTCAGTTTACTCTCTTTATCTCTCAGTGTTTGAATCAACACCTGCAGCTGTAACACTGAACTCACCTGAGTCTGCGACCTCCAGTCTGACGCTGGCGATCGGATCATTATCAATGAGGGTTTTCTTAACCTGCGTCGGACCTCGGAATAAGACTCGACACTCGTACGTCCCGCTGTCGTCGACGTTCACGTTCTTGAGAAGTAAAGACACGTTTCTATCCTTCAGCTCGCCGTCCACCAGCTGTGCCCGGCCCTGAAAGGTTGAATGCTGCTGGGTTGGTTCTAACTGTCCGTTCATGTAAAAGAGGACGTACTCTGTCTTCAGGTCGGTTCTGGTCCACTCTAAAGCTTTGATGAGGCCTTCCCCAGCGAGACACTCCAGAGTGACATTGTCTCTGGGTTCCACTTTTACTACATCGAAACCTAAAAACAATAATAAATAATAATACAATAGAAACCCCTCTGTGCTTTATTCCCTTTATTCTCAGGCTGCACTCCCAGGAAATTCATACAGGAAATACACAAATGTGAGGAAGCAAATAGCTCTTTAATAGACTTCAGTTTGAGTTTTTGATTTGAAAATACCCACATTAATCATGAATCACATCAAAATATTTACCATATTAACCTGATTAATAGATTGCAGCAGATATAATCAAGAAAGCAGGAAATTAATGTCAACATTAGATTACGAAAAACACATCATCATCTGAAATTTGACTGAAGAATAAGAAGTGTTATTATATACTATATATAATAATAAAAAAGAGAGGAGGTAGTTTGACTAATATTAGAGCACATTGGTTTAAATAAGACATTATTTTTTAATGAATAAAGTCAATTCACAAGCAGTGTGTGAGGGCTTATTATATATATATTAATAAACACAGGATTGTTTAATAGATTATATAGATTGTTATTTATTTATATTAATATAAGGGGTTTAGATTGTAGGTCGATTTTCTGTCTCACACTCTGGAGCAGTAGGTGGCGGTAATTCACCAAAGAAGAACAAGAAGAGGAACAAACATGGTGGAGTTAATAAACAGGGGTTAACCAGGACTACCAACGATCCTAGAGGAAGGACACGGATTAAATAAACCCGAGTGGAAAGACATCTTTACTGTATCATCCATTCCTCCTCCTCCTTCATCCGTTGTTACTGTAACTCACCTGCTGCAGTCACCAGAAGTAAGATCAGTGTGAAGAGCTGCATGTCTGCTGCAGGTCAGCTGCTGAGGAACACTCTTTTATTCTGAGGAACATCCTCTCGGAAGTTGTTTCTGTTGTTATCGGGGTGGGTCGATAAAGATTCATCTTCCTTTCTCCTCTTTATGAAAGTTTTTTCTATCATTTACTAAACTGACACATTTCATGTATATTTCATATCTTATTAAAGTGAATAAAATAGTGAACTCTGCAGGAAGTTTGTGCAAACATTGATTTTGATGAATTTTGATTCAATTTCATTTTTAGTTTTTTTTAAAACAATTCATTCTGTATTATGTATTTAATTTACTTTAAACCAAACTGTAAATGAATGCACATTGTCAATATAAAGTGTCACACTGCTAACCTACAGCTCTCCACTCATTTAAGTATTCAACCATATTGTACATATTTTCTCTGTTTTTATCTTTTATTTATATTTGTCTGTGTTTAATTGTTATGCTCCATCTTAGTAAGTAAATTCCTTGTATGTGAAAGTTTACTGTGCAATAAACTTGTTCCTGAAATGCTGATATAGTCCTGTGTTATTACATGTTGACTGCAGTGCACACATGCTTTACTTTCCCCAACAGAAATAGAGTTTTATTTAAACCAGTGTGATCAAACTCTTAATCTTCTCCTTCTTCCTTTACTCTGTGCTCTAAATAAATATTAAACAATGTCTTTATAGACTGTAAACTTATACAGCTAATGTCTAGGACAGCACATGGGATTAATTATAGGTTAAACAAGAGTCACATTATATAGACATGGAAACTCAAAACAACTCTTTTTAACGCATTTTAACTAAATCAAAAACATATTTATTTACATTCAGACCTCAATGTCAACACCAGACTTGAACTTTAACCCTTAATCTTTCAATAGCAATGTATACAGTTATAATAAGGGACTAAACAGATGGATGTCCTCTTATAAAAGTTTGAAAAAGCAATTTGAGGGTGAATTTTCAGTGTCTACTCACTACTCGTTGGACTGTAGTTGGACACAAATGTCCATTTAAATGACAATGTTTAATGTTTTAGTCCTTTACTTTATTATTTTACACATTTAGGATTCAGCATTAAAGGAGTTGAGCGTGTTGCACCTTGCTTCATATAGAACCACACTACTGCTACCTACTGAAGACCAATAACTGCAGCCATCATGATAACTTATGATAATTAATCACAATTAATGTCACATTCTTCTGCTTTACCTTTTCCCTTAAATCTGTTAGTAAGTAAGTAAGTAAATTTAATTTATAAAGCACATTTAAACACAGTATAAACTGACCAAAGTGCTGTACAGTGGATGACTAAAAAAGGCAAATAATACAGAAAAACACATGGGACCAATAGTCAATAATTCAATAAAAACATGAATAAAAGAAAAACCTTCAATATTGGGGCACACACCACCGAATATACATTAGGATGAGCAGGAGTATCAGGCTAGTGAACAGGGAAGGCAGGGAGTAAAAGTGGGTTTTAGCCCTGGATTTTGAAGCCAGAAATGGGAGGGGCAGATCTAATATTCCAGGGGAACTGGTGTCCACAGAGGTGGAGCAGCAACTGCAAAAGCTCTATCCCCCCTCTGTTTGAGCCGGTGAGCGCGGCTGGTACATGCAAAAAGCCCTTTATTTTGGAAGGATCTCAGGGACCTTTGAACAAAACTAGGGGCTGTACAAGGTCAGCATTATATTGGGGCAGCCCTTTATGCCTAAAAAACAAATAATAAAACTTTGAAATGAATCCTTAAAATTAAAACTGGGAGCCAGTGCAAGGGAGGCCAGAATGGGGGTGATTGTGCTCACGCCTCCCTGGTTGCAGTTAAAAAGGACGCGCAGCTGCGTTTTGGACCCAGAATGTTTAGACGTCTATAGTGAGGATTGGGGGGATTGGCAAGGATTAGGAGGGGAATTGCAATAAGTCCAGCCGTGATGTAATAAAGGCATGGATAACTTTCTCAAGGTCATTGTGAGATTAGGAAGGATTTGAGGCGTTGAGATCATTCTGGAGCTTGGGTAAAAACTATTTTTTGACAAACAGGAGCTAATCTGGTTTTGGTTCAAACAGAGTCACGCAGTCGAGAATGACACCCAGGTTTCTGCATATGGTTTGACAGAAGGGGTGAGGGTAAAACCTAAGTTTTGCACTACAGTGCATCTTGCCTTGGGGAGGACCAAAAATGTGACTTCTGTCTTGTCACTATTTAGCTGGGAGGGAAGTTGTTTGCCATCCAGGTTTCTGATGTTCTTCAAGACAGACCAAAGAAGAGATTGTATGTAGTCCCTTAATTTTAGAGGCAAGTACAGCTGTGAGTCATCCGTCATAGAGGTGAAAGGAGACTTTATGCTTTCTCTATAATGTCACCCAATGGAAGCATATACAGCTGAAGAGCATAGGACCCAAGATGGACCCCTGAGGGGACCCCATATGGAGACGGGAGCAGAGATGAGAAACTGGTAGACTCCCAGGAATCATTTAAAGAACACTTTTTGGTGGATATTTGGAACCCCCACATCCTCTCAGATAGTTTGTCTAACAAGCTCTTCCTGGAGTGGATCCAATACAAATGCTCAATGTATGAAATGAGATTTAGCTGCCTGCCCCATAAACCAATTACTGATCAATTAGCTATAAAAAGCCTATTAAATATAATATATATCTAATTATGCTGGGTTTATCTGCCCTCATTTAATTATCCAGTTACAGGCTCTCTAGCTCTTCATCTATACTACTCTGATCAAAGATCTCAGCTTCCTCTGGGTCTTTAATATATAGAAACACCAAATCTTATACAGCGTATAATTATAAATCAATACAGACAATGAGGTAAAAATTGGCACTTTAAGTTATTAGCTTTATATGGCTATTGTATTAAAGGGGAACTTGTCAACTCTACCCATTCTTCGCTGGTTTTTCATTTTTGTCAATCGTTTCCAACGGAGCTCCATACCTTACTGGAAGCTTATTTAAAGCTTATTGTAAAAAAAAAAAAAGAAAAAAAAAAGAAAAGGTGAACACAGTCGCTGTTAATAAATTCAAATATTCAGACTGAATGGTGTAAGTAGGACTAAATATGGGAGGAGTTATGTCCTTCACAAATTTGATCAGCTGCCACATTTAACAGTGAGAACATGAAGGTTTTGTTTGCTTTATAAAGTAAATTTAGGAACAAAGTTTGGAAACCATTTTTTAAGTTTAAATACATTCATTAGATTTCTAAAGTGGAGTTGACACTAATTATTAATTATCCACATAATATTCCTTATATTATTCTTAATAAACACAATATAAATGTAACCAATATCCATGAATAATTATAAAAAAATATAACAGTAGGCCAATTGAATGCCAATATGCTAGTTTTACCTGTAGTTTTTTTTATAAACAATTAATAATACTTATAAAAAATAAATAAATTTTAGGCTTATTAGTTAATATAGGAGTTGTAATTCTTTTCAAAGTTAAAGCTTAATAACTATGATCATAGAATTCTTCATTCTTAATGACTCGTGGACTCATGACTGAAGTACATATACTTCATATTCTAGTCAGTGCCATAAACATAACAGCGAGAATAAACTGCAGGAAGTTAAAAAATATAAATGCATTAAATTAACTGAAGGTAAACATAAAGCATAGGCTCTGCTGGGAGGCACAGTGCAGGGTCAGCTCTGGTTCTCAGTCTGGTCGGTGGGAGCTGATCTTAAAGGGCCTGGGCTGGGCTGTAAGGTATTAACAGTGCTTTGGAAGCCAGACTAGCATTAATATTAACAACAAACACAACATTAAAATGGTAGTCGTAAACTAAATGGGGAACCAGTGCAGGCTTTAGAAGGCTTTTTATATATATATATATATATATATATATATATATATATTATAATATATATTCTACTTAATAATATAAAAAAGCTCTAGTTAAAGCAAGTAATGTAAGTAAGTAATGAAGGACAGGAATAGTTTCCATAAATCCAGGTTAGCTCATTATAGAATCTTTACATGGTAACAAAACTGACTTCCAGAAAATATCTGTATAAAAACAACTATGGCAGCTGTAAACAGGGAGATGTTGGATTTTTTTTGGGTTAGAGGATGTTAGGAAACTGGAGGTCGTCTGCGTAACTCCGAAGATTCCTTAAAAAGAGCTGGTGCTGTGTGTGCAGCGAACTGAGGGACGACTCCAGGAGATAGGGAATGACTGGTTACCTTATTCACAGCTGTTAGCTGTACAGGAGGAAGAGTGGAGGGAAGAGATCACAGGGACCACTTGCCCTGATTCCACATGTCTTCTTCATTTCCAGGAAACAGCCAATTGAAGCCAAACAAGCAAGCAAAAAACACAAAACCTTGCTAACCAGGTCCATTTACGAGTGTGGCTTCCGACCACGATGTTCCTGGACCTGCAAGGATGATTGAAACGGTTAATGAGAAACATCTGAACAGTGGAACGGACCTCAGTACTCTCTTTATCTCTTAATGAATCAACACCTGGCAGCTGTACCACTGAACTCACCTTGAGTTGGCGACCTCCAGTCTGACGCTGGCGATCGGATCAGTCTCGATGAGGGATTTCTTAACCCGCATCGAACGACTCAACACTTCGAGGGACACTCGACACTCGTACGTCCCACTGTCGTTGCTGTTCACGTTCTTGAGAACTAAAGACACGTTTCTATCCTTCGGCTCGCCGTCCATCAGCTGCACCCGACCCCGAAAGGTTGAATGCTGCTGGGTTGGATCTGAGCGTCCGTCTCTGTAAAAGAGGACGTACTCTGACTCCAGGTCAGGTCTGGTCCACTCTACAGCTCTGATGGAGCCATCACCAGCTGAACATGGCAGAGTGACATCATCTCCGGGTTTCACTTGTACCACATCGGAACCTAAAAACGATAAAGATTCAGAGAGAAGAAGTGATTACATTTCATGCACTACTAGTTAGTGAGAATTTGAGAATTGTCGCGTTAATACTACAAACAAATAGAGCTCTACTGGTCAAAGCCCAGCTGTTGTAATTGAAGCCGGTGACGTATGTGGTGACAGCTTTGGTCACCAGTAATATGCAGAGTGTAGTTTGCACGTTGTCAGGATTTTGTAGCACGGTCTGCTGCATGTAGCTCGACCCGCCTTCAGGCAGAAAGAGGAAGACACTGTCCAAAGGTTGAGCATGTAGTACCATCTTCTACTTCACACAGGAGGGTTGAATTTGTGAAGTTAATGATATTGGGCTGTTACAGTGATGGTTAGAAGACCAGAGATTTTGAAATAAATGTATTCACTTTCTCCTGCATTTCTGTTGCAAAGAAAATCCCTAAACATTTTAGGCGGCAAAAGAAAAGATAAATCCTGGAAGGTTGGAGACCCTCCAAAACAAATGTTTTGAGTGGAGTTCATGTCTTATTAAGAGGAGCCTGGCCCCCCTGTAGCTCACACCCTGAGTACACAGATAAATACAGAAACCTACACACACTTCTAATGGGGTCATAAGAGATGAGTGGGAGTGGTTATGTACTTGTGTAAGTCTGTACGCTTTTAAAGCTGCAGGGAAAAACATTCTCTCTCTGTCTCTGCTTCCTGTCACCAAACCCACTGAATACACATACAAATCAGAATTCAAGGAAATGCAGAAGTCAAGGTTTTCTCTCGGAACACTTGAATTACAAAATGCTGAAAAAGGTTATTATGGAATATTTGCGCAATGACACAAAACCTAAACTGCCTACCTCAGGTTTAAAAAAATTAAAAATAAAGCATTTTCACTTTTTGACATTTTAATTAATTAATGACACTATTGTATTCCTAGATGCACAGACACATTCAAAAAGAATCATTAAGTTATGACTCTCTGGAGGTGTGTGGCGATGTCACTGTCTGCAGAAGCTCGGTTGCATGAGCCAGGGGCAGTATGTGTATGGGCAGTACGATGCAGAGAGGAAGAGAGAATCAGGAATACAACCGGACTTTCTGATTGTTTCACAGCGGTCACGTCCTCAAGCACAAATAAAGCACTCGCTAATTGTTAAACTACCACTGGTAGTTTTTACCGAGTTTTTTCACCGCTTTAACCGAGTGAACGTCGGGGGCGCAGCCTAATACGTGATACGTAATACATGACTTTGAAGGTCATGTGGATTTCAGCGTATTCAAACTTCTCCAACATGTTTTTTGGTTAGTCTTGTTTAAAGATTGGCTTTTTGCCTGTAATCGAGGCTTAACCACACAAACAGAAACTTAGAAAGTACAAAGCTCACCTTTTGCAGCAACACCCGAAGAAAAAAAGCATATTAAAATGAATGAAGTCATGTACGGTTTCATCATATGTCCTTCTCCTCCAAACGCAACTTCTCCGGTCGAGAAAAAGTCCATAAAAGTAGTTCCCATGTTCTCTATCTGAACACTGTCTCCTTCACTGCGATGCAAAATGTTATGAAGTCCAGAAAACACGCGGAGGAGAATGTAAAATGACTTTAGACAGCGAACACAAACACACAAACACCGGCCGGCTGCGCGTTAATCAAAGCGACTTTTAATGACGTATCCAGGAGACTACAATTTCCCCAAGACTACAAATACAATGACGTTGAATGCATGAGCCGAATATATATTTAAAAAAATAAGGCATGATAAAATTCTCAGTACGTGTTGTCATTTGACAACCGGTGCACAATGAGAAAGTCATGAAACCAGTTTGTTAACTGGAGTTGTTTGATGTTCAGCCTCCTTATGTAGCAGAGAGGCAGCTCACTCTTTGGGCTGGCATCAAATCATACATCAGTTATAGCCAAGAGTTTACTTTTCTTGACTTTAATTATTTATTTTTAATCAATGATGGTGAATGATGGTGCAGGAAAAAACATTTTTATTTATTTTAATTCAGCCATGTAACCTTAACAACAATTTGCATATATTTTGTCGCATATATTTTCCGATCCTTATCTATAATTCTGTTTAGAATTACCATACTCAAAAATAACTCACTTAATTACCTCTAAACTCATCATGTATAGCCTTTCATAAATTTAAGTTATTTTAGTTCAACTTTTTTTCTTTGAACTCCTTCCTCTCCTTTCTTATATCTTCTCAGCTTAAGGGTCCAGATGTTTTTTATTTAAGTTTTTAAATAAACAACATGCAATTATTATCCCGCTCTCTCATATAGGAATCTGAATAACCAAAGACTATAATCGGATGGTAAAATTAGGAAAACCAACACAAAACTATACCTGCCTCTTATTTCACAGTATGGTCAGGATAAGTTTTGTTCATCGTAAGATTGGGATATATTCTGATGTGTTTGTTTTTTCAAACT